CCCAGTGAGTTATAAACTCAACATTATGGCTAAAATTAAATTTAAATACTGTCAGGGTGCTTTTGTTGGGCAGAATGTAGAACAACTAAATTCTCACCCACTACTGGTTAGAGTGTAAACTGGTACAGTCACTTTGGAGAATTGTTTGAAAATGTCTACTAAAGCTACATATATAATAAGACCAAGTGATTCTCCTCCTAGATGTATACCCAACAGAATTGTGTACACATGTGCTTCAAAAGACATGCTCAAAAACTATTCACAATAGCCCCAAACTAGAGAAAATTCTAATGACTATTACAATACTCACACACTTAATGTTATGCAACTGAATGGTTTTTTTGAGCAAAAGAAGCCAAACATAATGAACACATTGTATTACATACATTAATATATATAAAGTTTAAAAACAAGCCAAGTTTGAAGTCAGGAGAGTGGGTTATTTCTGAGAGGAAGGAAGAGGGCATAATAGTTGTCTGAAATGTTAGATTTTTCATCTGGATAGTGGTTACTATGTTTGTATTGTGATAATGAATCAACCTATATACATATGTTCTGTGCCCTTTTGTATATTTATGTAATACATATACGCACATATTTCTCTAAAAAATACTTACTGAAAACAAGAAAAAAAAAAAAACCCATACAAATATCAATATTCTCTGTCATTCAGCAATTGACAATTAACACTGTAAGGGGGAACATTACATTTTTTTTTGTTTTGCTTTGTCTCATGTAAGTTTATTTTAAAAACTCCTTTACAGAAGTACATTCATTAAACATAATGTTTACGAACATACATCAACAGTAATTTTACTAGATATTTTACTATTCATTATTAAATAAATATTTTAGGTAACAAATTAATTTCATTTTTCTATGAGATTTTTACATGATCAAAAAATGAAAAACTGGCAAATTTTTAACATTAAAATTTAGTTCTAACTACATGGAAGTCTAATAGGTGTAAAGGAAAGTTATATTTTACTAGAGCACTTAGGAATAACTAATAATAATTATATAAACCTTTTTGGAAATCTTCATTAAAGGGTATGTATAAGACCTGAACAAGTAGAAAGATATGTTTAAGTGCCATCAAGTCAGTTCTGACTTATGGCGACCCTATAGGTTTTCGAGGAGTGACTGGTGGGTTTGAACTGTTGATATTGTGTTTGTTAGTCCAGTGCTTATCCTACAGCGCCACACCAGGACTCCAGAAAGATAAATGTCATCTGAGTAAATGAAAAAATAATGTTGTAAATTCACTGATAACTTTCCCAAATATCACCAGTTTTGATGGAGAAAGATGAGCCTTTCTACTCACAATACTGTCAATTTCCCACAAGTTAATCAGTAAATTCCATGCAAATCTAATAAAAATTCCACCAGTGTTATTGATGAAATTTTCAAATTGCTTCTGAAATGCATTTCTGTTGTCAAATGCCGTCCAGTTAGGTCCACTTTGTAGAGACTCTGTATAAGGGTTCCAAGGAGCAGCTGGTAGGTTTGAACCGCCAACCTTGTCGTTAGCAGTCTAGTGCTTATCGTATAGCACCAACCAGGACTGGAAAAAATTATAGCGTAAAAAGTGTTAAGGCAGTTAAAAAAAAAAAAAAAGACATTATTTTCCTTGTCAGGAAGACATTATTAAACTACAGAAAATAGAATGTTGTTATTGCTGTTAAGCGTTGTCGAGTAGGCTTCAACTCATAGCGACCCCGTATAAGGTTTCTGAGGGGCAGTTGATGCACTAGAATCACCAAGCTTGCTGTTCAGCACATAATCCTGCAGCACCACACCAGGACTCATAGAAATTAAATAGAGAGTCTAAAAACAGATCCACGGATGCATGGACTTTAAGTCTATGATGAATGTGGCATCTCTAAATAACAAAGGATGGTAATTAAATTAGAATTGGAGATATAGATATAGATATAGATATGTTGTTGTTTGCTGTTGTTAAGTGCCATAGAGTTGCTTGTGACCCATAGCAACCCTGTGTAGGGTTTCTGAGAAGTGGCTGATAGATTTGAACTGTTGACTTTGTGGTTTGCAGGCCAGTGTTGATCCTAACGTGCCACATGATATACAAGTAAGTAAATCCTGTCTTTGTACTATAGACAAAAACTGATCAATAAAAGACCTATAAAATCATTAAAGGGCAGATAAAATATAATACTTGTGACCTTTGGATGAGAAAATTTCATCTTACACAGAAAGAAAAAGACATACAGAAAAAATTAATTTGACTACATAAAAATGTTAAACTTTTGTATAAGAAAAGAGTTCTTAAACAGGACAAACAACAGGTGGAAAATATATATTTGCAACATATAAAACAAAGTTTGCATATAAAGAACTTCTACAAATCAATATGAAAAGAAATAAACCCAAAATTGTTGTTGTTATTAAGTGCCATTGAGTTGATTCCAACTTATAGCAATCCTGTGAGTTTTCAAGTAGTGGCTGGTGAGTTTGAACCACTGACCTGCGGTCTAGTGCTTTATCCCACAGCGCCACACCACAACATCAAAATCAGACCAGTTAATTCACAGAATTAATACAAATGTTCAGTGACATACTTAAAGATTTTCAATCTCCAAGAGAACAAGTCATGGAAAACAGTCCATGATACCATTAAATTGATAAAATTGTTAAAGTTCAACAAAACTATGTGACAAGACTATGTTCTTGTTGTTGAGTGCCGTTGAGTCGATATCTATTGACTCATAGCGACCCTATATAGGGTTTCCAGGGAGTGGCTGATGAGCTTGAACCGCCGACATTGAGATTCAAAGTGACCTTGCAGTCTAGCACATTAACCCAGACCACCATACCAGGACAAGGGTATAGAGATTCTCAAATACTGCTGACTCATTTGTACTATTGTGGAATGCAAGTCAACAGTATTCAGTAACATTACAATATGAACATCCAGGAATCCCTTGGTGGTGTAAATGGTTGACTCCCATGGCTGCTAACTGAAAGGTAAGAGGTTTGAGTTCATCCATAGATTTCAGAAGACCTGGAGATCTCCTGAAAAATCAGTCATTAAAAACTCTGATATACATGGAATCACTGTGAATCAGACTCCACTAAGTCCACTGGTTTACATAGACCCTTCAATATGTCAATTACATATACCCTTCAATCAGAGTGGAGTCCTGAGGTGGCACTCTAGGATAAGCACTGGACTGCTAACTGTAGGGTGGCAATTCACACCCACTAGCTGCTCGTTGGAAACTACTCAGGGTCTCTATGTGTCGGAACCAACTCAACGGCACTTAACAACAATCAGTTATATCTAAGGAATAGGAATAGGCAGGTATGGCACCACCTGAGTGGCATACGACTGAGCAGTTTCCATTACCAGATTACCAAGTGTGAGAGAGCATTCAGCCAGTCAAAACGAATACTTTTGTATTTGAGAGCCTCCATGGATCCTGGTGTAGTGCTGTAGAATAAGCACTAGACTGCTATCTGCATGGTCGGCTGTTCAAACCCAGTAGCCTCTATGAGTAGGAAGTGATTTGACGGCAATTAACAACAACATCAACATAGGGCAAGGAGGAGTTCTGTAGGATAAGCACTGGACTGATAACAACAAGGTCCGCCAGGGTTCAAATCCACCGGCAGCTCTGCTGGAGAAAAATGAGCATTTCTGCTAGGTAAGAATTTATAGTCTTTGAAATCCTATATAAAGTCACTAAGAGAATTAACTATACGGCAGTGGATTTGTTTTTTGGGGGGTTATGGGTCACTGAAGACTGTGATCTTGCTATGCAGAGAGTAAAAAGAAACTGACAGCAAAACAAAACAAAAAAGGCTTTGATTTCATCATACAACAATTTTCATCAGTGAAAGCAAGGAAGATGCTGTTGCAATTTCATGTAGTACCACAATACATTAAGCAAAAGATGAACACACCTGACTTGTACTTTTGATTTAATATTATGGAGTTATCTAAAAGATGGGTGTTAGATGTTTGGACAAAGGTACCATGTTAGTGCTTGCCAGAGGTGCTCTTTCTGAAGACAACGCCTCTGCCTACAATGTTGCCTTTCCATTTCTAGATATTGAGTCTTAAAAAACATTAGCACATATAGATATCCATTTACCCATCGTTTATAGTATCAAAAACTAGAAAATGTTTGTCTATACTTAGGTTAACTATAGTATATCTATACTAGAACGCGAGCAAAAAATAAAAATTATATATAGTAGTAGCTATGTATCCTAACAAAGCTAAATCTTGAAGACACAGCCAAGGCTTTTAAAAAGTTGCAGTTATGTAAAGTATGTAAAAGAAAATAACATAAATATACACTTCCCACAAGGATATAAAGATCCATTTACGTGCCAAAGTGAGAACTGAAAGAACAACCTCCTGGAAAGAGTGGCGACAAATTTTTTCACTGTAATTTAGGGAAAAAACAAAACACGGATAATATATACATTTATTATTTGTGGATTTAACATAATTTTTTAATGACAAAATCAGATAATAGATGTTTTTAACATGTGGATTTATGTAGTCTAGTTTGGGATTTTTTATTTGGCGCACAAATAAGATAGTTGTTAAAATCTTGGGAGCAGATGTGACTGCCTGGGGGAGGGAGTGTTGGAAGAAGGAGATACAAAAGAAGATAGATGAGGGGGCGAATTAAATGTTGTAACAAAGGCCAGTGGGTATAACAAGTTTTTAGCATTGGGTATAACAAGTTTTTAGCATCCTAAGCAGCATGCACAGTCTCTAGTTACGACGTTCGAATCGACTGAAACGCAGAAAACGCACACCACGAAGCGGGTTCAGTGTTCACACAGGCTAGCGGCACCAAATGTGCTCCACGTCAGAAGGGAGGTGGTGGTAGGAGATTTACGCATGCGTACAGGGTTACGCAATTTACATCGTTTGCGCAAGCGCACACCCGCACACCCACACAACCGCGTATCTGTGTTATCGCCGAAAACGCCTTGTGAGCGTTTGAACTGCTTAAATCATGTCCGAAATGTCCGAGCTGTCCGAACTGTATGAGGAGAGCAATGACCTGCAGATGGATGTGATGGCTGGCGAGAGTGACCTTCCGCAGATGGAGGTAGGCAGCGGGAACCGGGAGCCTTCCCCGAGCCCCTCCCGCCTCGGGGCCCCGCCGCAGCTGGAGGAGGAAGGCCCGATGGAGGAGGAGGAGGAGGAGGCCCAGCCAATGGCTGCGGCGGGCGGCCTGGCTAACGGGCCCAGCCGTGGCGAGCAGCCGGGCCAGGTCGCGGCCCCAGACTTGGAGAGCGACGACGAGGGCGAGGAATTTGATGACTGGGAGGACGACTACGACTATCCCGAAGAGGAGCAGCTCAGCGGGGCCGGCTATAGGGTCTCCGCGGCCCTGGAAGAAGCCAACAAGATGTTCCTGCGAACATCTAGAGCCAGAGAAGCAGCCCTAGATGGCGGCTTCCAGATGCATTACGAGAAGACCCCGTTTGATCAGCTAGCTTTTATCGAAGAGCTCTTTTCCCTCATGGTTGTCAACCGTCTGACCGAAGAACTCGGCTGTGATGAGATTATTGATCGAGAGTAAGGTCAGGGCTGTTAAAAGAGGAGGAAACTACTTGAGGAGAGACTCACTATTATTTTGGGGGTTTGTTCGAAATAGTTCTGTGCCAGTGGAAAACTTGATCTTCCAAAAAAAAAAATTGTTTTAGTTTGTTTTGCAGAATCGAGTAGGACAGTGACCGCACAATTGTGAGAAAGAAAGAGAATCGTTAAGAAAGAAAAAGGATCGGAGGACTGTAGAAACCGGTTTCCAAGCATGTCCTGAAACACCCAGGTCTTTGCCTTTGTTATTTTCCTGGCATTGGGGGATTGATCCCTTCTTATCTGTATCGCGGTTTAAGGGATGGTTTTGCAAGAACAAGGCATGATCAAGACAAACTGCTAATAGATGAACCCACTGATAATTTATATGATGAGAAAAGATCACCAAAATGCCCAATTTAGGACACGGATAGCTGAATTATCTGGACTGGAAGCCTATTGAGAAAACTTTGGAAATTCTGGTTTTGTGATCTATTCAAGTCATAATTATCAAAAGTATTAGTGTAGCATAAGTTTAGCTCTCATCAGTTTCTCAAAAGGATGAAAATACCCCAAAAAGAAGTATATGCCAGTGCTGTATCTAAATTTGTTACCAAGAGCATCTGAAATTTTGTTTATATGTGTTATTTTTATTATAATTCGAGAAAATCCATGTTGTGATCATTTTAAAAAGTAAAAGATTAAGGCAACCTTAATTAAAACCTTTAGACGTTACTACGTTTTGTGAAAGTACAAAGAAAACATTTCTAAATACTCAAGACACTAGAGAAGACTTCTGTTTTGCTCTTCTATTTTTCACTTATTTGACAGGAGAAAGATTTCAGTTGAACTTAATATTATATGAACTGTTGGTGAATGTTGTCATGTAAAAGGAAAGTTGTACATCTTAAAAAGGCTGTGAATAATTACGCTATGGACTTTGTAAAGGTTTTCAACCTGCCCAGAAATCCACCTCAGTCTCTGACATTTCCTTTCCTCTTTCTCCTCCTCTAAATTAAGCTTGTTATCTGTATGCACCAGCGTTGGAGATAATAAAACTTCTTCTGTGTACTTTGTTGGGCTAACAACACATTGTTATTACACACATATAACTTTTCCCATATTCTACTTTTTATTGTATCAATTATTGCAACCACTTAGTGATTGAAATTGAACAAATAGCTACAAGTGAAAGTGACCCAGCTTCAAATACCTGATCTGCAAATTAATTTATGGAAATGAAACTTAGTAAATTAAGTATTGTCAACTTGGAAAACGCCCTGTCAGTGAGCATGTTGATATGCTTATTATATTAAGATGCTAAAGTTATGTGAGAAAAAAAATGTTAGGACACTGCACCCAGTAAACATTGAGTCTTTTATATAAGCAGATTTTATCATGACCAATAAAAATGACGAGCTCTTCCTGCCCTATTAGAACAATAAACGAAATCCAAAATAACAAGGTAATTCATTCTTACATATGGCAGTCGTCCTGTTCTTTGGGAAGGGGATTCTTTTTTGTAAGAAAAAAAAAGATTGAAAATATTAAGACTGATCATTGAAGTAAAAAAACCAAAGCCAGTGCCATTAAGTGGACTGTAACTCACAGTGACCCTGTATAGGGTTTCTGAGGCTGTAAATTCCTTCACCAGGTTTGAACTGCCAACGAGCAGTCCAGTGCTTGTGCAGTCCACTAATCCTGCAGCAACACATTAATGGGGTGGGGAGGGGACCGATGAAGTAAAATATTCACATATCTTAATCCTGCTGCTTCTGGGCCTCACCTCTTACATTATTAAATAGCATTTAACTGCAGTCCTGTATCTGTAGATAGTTAATTGTGCAATGTGAATTAACCTAATACTGATGGGGGCGGGGGTGGGGGTGGGGGAAGAATGCCAATATACAATAAACTAGTCACATTTACCTCCAAATAAAGAAAGGCCTGGGAGAAAAAAACAGGTCTATAAACTGGAAGGTTATAATTCTGTTTCTCTGATTAAGCAGGGAGCAGAGGGAGGGGAAAAGAAAACTCACATCCTCTGTTATAGTTCGAAGACCCATCTTGAGAAAGACCTAGGTTCTCTAATTGGTTATACACATTTACCCACTGCCATCAAGTCAGTTCCAATGCAGTGACCCTATAGGACAAGGTAGAACTGCTCCCCAGGGTTTCCACAACTAGATCTTTATAGGAGCAGGCAGCCTTATTTTCCTCTTTATCCCATGGAGTGGCTGGTGGGTTCCAGCTGCTGACCTTGTGGTTAGTAGCCCAATACATAACCCACTAGGCTACCAGGGCACCTTTGCAACTCGTTAGTTGGTTTTAAAAATAGGAAATAACTTGAGAAAGCACTGAAATTAATCATTGTTAATATTTATTGAAGATGAAAAGTGATAGTACTTTGATACCCTTTTTAGGGATTCAAAATCACATGTTTTTTTAAATGTTGGCATTACCACTGGCTAGAATCTGACAGCTGGTTCAAATCTGGACCCCACTACTTAATAGAACTGTAACTCATAAATTATCTCTCTAGTGTCCTATTCATAACCTGGTTCCATCAAGTCAATCTTGACTCATAGAGACACTGTAAGACAGACTAGAATTGCTCCATAGGGTCTTGCAAGGCTGTGATCTAAGGAAGTAGACAACTACAACTTTCTCCCAGGGATTGGCTGTTGGGTTCAAACTACCAAACTTATGTTTAGCAGCCAATTGATTAACTAGTATGCCATCAGGGTTCCTTGGATTTATCCATGTTGTTAAATTCCCCCAAGTCAGTTCCGACTCACAGTGACACTACATAGGGTTTCCGAGGAGCAGAACTGCCAACCTTGAGGTTAGCAGTCCAGCGTTTATCTTACAGCGCCACACCAGGATCTATCCATAGGTATTATAAATGTGCTTAGATAGCCCACATTAGCTGCCCTCAGGCAACAGATGTCCCATAGGTTGATTTTGTTTGGATGACAAAATTTTAACTTGATTATAAACAAACATTTCATAATTTAGAGAAAGCAGCTAAAAACCCAGATTTCCAGCTTCTATTGCCACAGTGAAGGAGCCCTGGTGGTGTAGTGCATTAAACATTGGACTGCTAACTGAAAGATTGGTAGTGCAATCCCACCAGCCGCTCATGGGGAGAAAGATGAGGCTGTCTGCTTCAGTAAAAATTTACAGCCTTGGAAACCCCTAGCTCCGCCTACTCTGCCCCTAGGCTCACTATGAATTGGAATCAACAGCAGTGGTTTGGTTGTCATGGTGAAAGATCTGGCAGCCCTGGTCCCTTAGTCCCACATGGCAAAAAGTGCCTGAGTCTTCTTTAGATAGTGAAGCTCATCTGTTTGCCACAACCCCAATGTTCTCTCCTGGACATTGAGGCCAAGTGATTAAAAGTTTGCCATTTTATCTTATCTGGATAAGCCTGCTTGGCCTCTATGTATTTGAAGTTGCCTCTCCTAATGGAGGAGTCCTGGTGCGACGCTGTAGGATAAGCACTGGACTACTAACTGCAAGGTAGGCAGTTGAAACTTACCAGTTGTTCCTCAGAAACCCTATGTAGGGTCACTGAGTTGGACCCTACTAGACAACACTTAACAATGACATCATCTCTTTCTGGACACTAAAGAATGTTTCCATTTTCTTTATGTTTTATCTAGTTTTTCTCTCCATTATCCTCAATTCAATAAATACTAAGAGTTGGTGGAAATAATGAAAAGTAAAGACTTAGTGATAGTGGGAGCTAAGAACATGGCATCAGGATTAGAGGAAGACTCATTAACAACCTGCAATATGCAGATGATATTGCCTTGCTTACTGAAAGTGAAGAGGATTTAAAATATTGATGAAGATCAAAGACTATATAGCCTTCAGTATGGATTGTACCTCAATGTAATGAAAACACAAATCCTCTCAACTGGGCCAATATATAACATCATGGCGAATTAAAAAAAAAGATTGAAGTTGTCAAAGACTTCATTTTGCTTAGATCCACAATCAACACTCCTGGAAACAGATGTCAAGAAATCAAATTAAGTATTTCATTAGGAAAATCTGCTGCACAAGATCTGTTTAAATTGTTCAAGAGCATAGATTTTAGTTTGATAACTAAGGTGAGCCTGACCCAAGTCATGCTATTTTCAGTCACCTCATGCATGTGCAAGTTGGACAGTAAATAAGGATGTCTGTAAAACAATAGATGCATTTGAATTACGTTGTTGGAGAAGGATATTAAAAGTACCATGGACTACCAAAAGAACAAACAAATGTCTTGGAAGTATAACCAGAATGCTCCTTAGAAGCCAAGATGGTGAAACTTCATCTTTTATACATTGGACATGTTATCAGGAGGGACCAGTCTCTGGAGAAAGACATCATGCTTGGTAAAGTGGAGGGTCAGTGAAAGAGGATGCCCTCCAATGGCATGAACTGGCACCATGGCAGCAGCAATGGGCTCACGCATGACAACAATTGTGAGGATGGCATAGGACCAGGCAGTGTTTCATTCTGTTGTGCATAGTGTTGATGTGAGTTGGAGCCAACACAGCGGCACATAACAACAAGAAGACTCTAACTTTTTTTTTTGCTTAAGCCCCTAAAATGCCATCTTAAAGTATGTCAAAAAAATCTTTTTAAAACAAGGAATTTTTAAAACAAACACCCTATGACTTGCTTTTCCAAAATATATTTTCCCATACCAAAACTGATCATTTTAAAAAATGGTAAGTATTATGTTTAATATAATTTATGCTTTTGAGAGCATACTAAATATTTTGGGGCATGAATGATTATACTTTTATATTGTCTTCAATGACTGAAGATAGATATGAACCATCTGATTCATAAGTGATCTGTCATCTATGAATGGTCCCATAAACTTGAATGAAATTGTTTGTTTTCAGGCCAAAGTATATCTTTAAATTAGGGAAAGGGAGAAGGACACTAGCACATTTTTTTGTAGTTATCTTAGGATTTCAAGGGGTCATTTCTTCAAGAAGG